TCGACCGGTCGTGGCGATGGCAAGAGGAGCTGTGTTGAGGACAAAACGAAGAAGTTGTGATTTGGCAGTGGACGGGTCACCAACCATCAAAATGTTAATGTCACCACGAAGATGAGTTCCATTGTCCAGATTCTTTTCCATGCCACCTAATAACATCAAGAGAATGGCCATCTTGATGTAATCATGACCATATATACTTGGTGCGAGAGACTGAGACAGGAGATCGAAGACGTTCTTCTTCTTCGCAAGTTTATTGATATTGCGGATATCAGTATCTGTTATGGTCGCTTGAGCAATCCCACCCCCTGATTTCGAGCTGAGTTGAATGATGTTGTTTGCTAGGATCACAGTGCGGAATGTAGAGCTGCTCGTGCTCGCATTTCGGTTTCCGAGAGACCTATGTATCCCGACCAATTGAATCCGGTCACCTGGTTTGGTTTTATCGACGAGATCATCGTCAAGTATGACATCAACACCGCGAGGGAGCTGCCCAGCCGGGGCACGTTCGGGCATTTCTTGTATCGATATTGTTTGATGGTCGCGATATATACAATATCCGTACTCGGTGATCAGCTATTAATCGAGTTAGCGAGAATAAATATATTCCCTCCACTAAGCTCAGGCAGGGGTTGAATTACATACCGGATTCCCTTCATCATCCTCCTGAGGGTAAACATTCAAATTCGTAGCCCCGCTGGCCGTCATGGTCTGATCCTGATACGTCCTCATCAAAAATTCCTCCTTTTTCTCACTGTAGTGAACACTTCTGATAATCTTCGGTCGGACGAGAGAACATTTCGTAACAATGCCTTCAAGGCTTATCAATCGGTTTAAGTGGGATGAACCCAATGTGCGAGGATTGCAAGCATATTCGCCGAAAGCGCCTACATAAGCACAGTAGTACATCTACACAATGTTCCCATAATCAGTATTTTTACATAACAAAGTCCCGGACTCTATATGTTTGTTACGTACCGTATCATTTGAAGTCTCCTTGGCCGATCGATTGGGCAATGTGCTGATAATTTCTTTCAACGCCGCATTGAAGGCTGCAGTGTAATCGTGGGGAGACGTAAAGAGACTAATCAATGAAGTGCTTAACGCTTAAGATCAAAGACGTGAAGATTGAAAATGGGGAGTAAATAACAAACCCATTAGCCAATTCTGCGCTGTGCGCTCTAATCTCATCTAAGCTGACCTATATTTGATGGCATCAACCAAGTCAGTCGAATGCCTTCGGACTTCAATGGACCACAATAAAGGTCCAGATATTCCATACTGTAAGTCTTCGCAATCCACGATTGAGCATCAAAACGATATCCGCTCGATAGCTGCAGCACTTGTTAGGAAAATCGTGTACTTTCTCATCAGTGCACTCTGTCACGGAGAAGTGGTATCCGCATACCTCCTCGCTCGAGGATCACCTAGATGGAACAAAAAAACGCAATTTAGACCATGACATAGAAAGTAATAAGATGGCAAGTATAGTACTCACTGGGATCGAGAAATTCAGCAGCGGCTCGGATGCGATCTTGGGGATCCATGGTGAATATGCGGGTGTGGGCAAGCCCACAGGCAACAGAGCACGGAGAAAGTCTTAATTCGACGGGCAATCACTAAAGAAAACCATAGATCCAAATGACAAGAATTGCTAATCTCTGTCTCAGCTCTTAGATATATCTATGGCAGTGGTTGGGGGTGTTTTTGGTGTGAGAATTTGTGGGGATGAAGGAGTTGAATTTTGCGACCAGCGACGCAAAAGAAAAAACGGTCTGGAGGTTTGAGGAGCGTGTTTACGCGTTACGCGTTTTGTGGTTGCTCAGCCAATCAGAGGGCCTTATTTCGCGTTCTGGCATTACGGTCATGTGATCTATCAATATTGCCTGATCGGGAAGACGGCAGAAAACCCCGGAAGGCGGCGACGGCTCTCCGCGTAAGTAAGTCATTTCGACTTTTACTTCAGCTTACTTCAGCTTTCTGGGAACAACGTAGAGAGAAACGGTTGTGGTCACATATGTAGAGTCTCAGGTCTGTGTCGGTGCTAAGTGCAGTGGAGAACACGCTTCTGGAACCCTGCTGGAGTCGTGGTGGCCAGGACAGGCTGCTATAGATACCTCCTCGTGGTGACCCTGGTTAAGCTCGCCTATGGTTTCTTGGAAGCCTTGTTCGGTGCTCCGTTAAATTTAACATATTAGAGCCAACGGGCTGGAGCAGGACGTTGGGTGCAATTCCCGACCGATCTTTACCATGTCTCCAAGTGGTACTGTCGTCATGTGCAACCCCCAAAGAACACACAAAAACAAAAGAATGGTTGTATATATACGTATGTATGCCTGAGGAGTGAAGTGGAAAAGGTAGAGAAGGTATACCCATGCACTATACCAGCGTAGATGACGGCAAAATACCTCTATAACATACATGGGAAAATGACATTAATAAAGGAAACAATAAAGAAATAATATAATACACAGCATCATATGCACAGACACATCCAAAGTCCAAAACCCAGCCAAAAGTTGTTCTCAACCCCTGTCACTCAAATATCCTGATGAGCCAGTTTGTAAATTTTCACCATCATATCCCGTATCTGATTCAGACGCGTTTTCGCATGGTGATGAAGGGCATAAGCCTCGCTGTCCCAATCACTGGCAAACTCCCCATCCACCCGTTCGGGCCGTGGAATCTTGTTCCGTATCCAATTAAGATCCTCCCGCCACTCTCGCAGCCCTCGCCACCGCTTACTCCGGTTCTTCTCATGGTACAGCTTCCAATCGACCCTCTCTTCCTCCTTCATATGCTTCCAGATCTGCAGCCTGCACCAGAACACCCATTCCTTCCGATACGGTTCCTTGAGGTCATACGCATCCTCTTCCAGACGTAGATAATGGAGAATAAGCGGTTCATCCCTTGCGTCTATCTTCTTGAGCCAGAGTCTCTTGTTGCGCGGGGGAATCCAGTCGTTCCAGCGACCGCTCTCAACTTTCCGCCGCCACTCGGCTTCCTCCTTGCGCCAGAGAATTCGCTCTTTGTGCACTTGTTCCCTCTCTGCCTCTAGCTCCTTCTGCGGCCTCTCGGGTAGCTCAAGGTGGCTGTGCTGGATTAGGTGGGATGTGTTGAAGAGCCCCAATTCTCGTAGGACTTGCCAATGTGCCGTTTCGCGGCCACCGCCATGTAAATGGGGTGGGATTCGTGGAGGTATGCCGTTCAAAAGTGGATTTTCTTCCAGGAATTGACGTCGTTGGGTTCGCCTTCTATATTCAAACTGCCTCCATTCAGCATCTTCTTCCAGGAGCGTTTTGATCATTTGCATGTCCGGTTCGGATTTCCTCGGCGCACCGTCGGGTAAGGGGATGAGGTCGTATGGAGATGGAACTGCAATACTGGTGTCTGCATCTTTCATCACTTCTTCCTGTCGAGAAATCTCGGACTTCAACTCCTCATGGTCGCGAAACCCAGGCTCCATAACTGGCTTTGCAGGACCTGAGTGCACTACCTGTTTAGCCTCATTTAAAATCTGTCCAAAACCACCCTGGGGGTCGTGTACATTCCCCATGGCAATCATAGTCATCGGGGCAGCTAACAGTATAGCGTTGACCTCCTCACCAGCATCCAATACCGAACGAGCCCTGGCATCAACCAAGGCAGCAGCGAGCCGAACAATAGTATCGTAGGATGGCTGCATGTGATCAGGTTCAAGCTTTGACCAAGCGTAACTTTCTTCGCTGCCCATATGGTCAGGTCGATGGGGGAAATAATAATTTCTGTCTTCCTGTAGAGCGAATGTGGAGGGGGTATGTTTGGGTCGCGCTGTCGATCTCGCTCTTACCTGCGCCCAGCCAGTGTAATTGGGGATAAACAACTTTTCAAAGAGGATAAAAGCGTTAAGTCTGTCTTCTTGCCGTGTAGAGACAGCAAGCAGTTCAATATAGTACGACCAATCGTGAGTGGTCAGGACGAAACCCGCCTTTTGAACTTCAGATATAACGACGGCGATTTTGGAGTGGAGATTTTGCTCTGCGTAGGATTTCATGAGGATAGAGAGACACTCGGAGAGAGAAAACCTCTGGGAAGTTGACATGGAGTGCGCCGAGATATGCTTATCAGTAATTCCGGCATTATTAAATATGACAGAGACTGTAACTGTTGATCCGAGTTTGGCTTGATCGAACGCCTGCCTCCAGAGCTTCTCGACCATCTCAAAATTTCTATCTCGAAGATGAAGCTCCATTTTGTTGGCTAACTGACTTAGAGAGACAAGCTTGGGATTATCGACAAGCTTGTTTTGCTTTCTTTTAAGCTTCTCAGCTAGTTCCTTGGGTCTGATGGTAGCGTCATAATTTCTGTAAGCTGAGATGAGTTCCTCGTAAAAAGCATAAGGAAACGCATCGCGGACCGCCTTCTTTTTGGATCCAGGTTGGGGGACTTTCGTAGCCCACTCTCTAATACTAAAATCCTTCATGATTGAATCGAGGAAATTTTCCGCATTCACCAGTCTAACTTCGTTGTTGTACCCAACGTAATACCCTTCTTCAATCAGTCTCTTGTCCATCAAAACTTTCCCCTTGAGAATCGACAATCTCGCGCTAAGGCTCAAATGCCCGAATCTCCTGACGATTTCTCTCTGGGTATATTCAATCATGTCCTCGTCTCCAACCAAGGCATAGCCGTACAGAAGAATAGCATAATGGAATTGTGTCACAGGAACTTGGCGACCGGCCTCCAGTCTTTGAATGAGCCGAATCGCATCGTCATGGTTTCCAGTGCGAACAAGCGCTAGAATCGTAGCAGCATAGGTCATTTCGTCAAATCTCACCCCTAACTTTCTCATGCGATCATGCACGGCTAACATTGAATCGATATCAGGAAGGAATGCATAGTGCCAAAGGATAACGTTCCACATCCGGGTAGTAAGACCAGGAGCCTTTAATTGCATCACCGAATCCGCGAATTTCTCAGCAGCGTCATACTTCCGATCTTTACACAGCGACTCAACTACCGGGTGAAGCATTGCCATGTGCAGCCGAACATTATACCTTCTAGCAAACTGCAAGAAGTACGTTACGGTTTCGACACTTTCATCCTTGGCAAACAGACCCATTAAAATACCCAAGGTATGGGAATCTGGTTTTAATCCCCTGTCCATCATTTCCTGAAGAGTTTTTAGTGCACCTGGCTTATCGCGAGATTTCGCATGGGCGGTGAGGAGGATATTCCAGCTAGTTATATCCGGGCTCAGCGAGAATTGGTTGGGCAGGCTTTCTAGCCGCTTTCGGGCTTGGAAAACCTTCCCAACCGCAGCATTAACGTGTATAAGAGGATTAACAAAATAGAGACTCTTCGGGTTGCCGTAGTGGTTCACGTAGGCCTTGAATAGATTATCCACTCTCCGGAAATCTCCCAGTCTGGAAAACGCCGTAAGTGCGATCCGATATGCCTCTTCTGACGGCTTTTCATAGAATAACCGAAACTCTCTGAGAAGCTGGTTAGTTGCTTCGGTGTTTTGTAGGACAGCCACTACTTTCAAAAGTCCAGCGAGAACTTTCTCAGGCGGCTTTGTGGTTTCCATTAACACACGAAAATGCCAATACACTTGGAGTGCACGAGTGGTCTTTAATTCAATATCCAGATATCGTAGCGTTGACAACGCCCAGAAGAAATGTTGGCTCTCGAGTAAACGGACGGATCGAAGGTTGTAGAACAGTAATAGAATTTGTTCAAGGGAAGTTTGTCTCAGAAGGGTTTTCCTCTTGACGATTAGATGAACTAGAAATTGCACCAATGGTGTAGCTTCCGACAGATCCAACTTTTGATCCCGTAACATATCAAGTAAGCCCAAAACTCTGTCCAGCAAGCTGCGCATATTCGCTAACTCATGGAATTTTATCTGTTTCAAAGGGAGGTCTTCGGGGAGATAAGGCTTAAGTGGCCAAAGTCGAAATGCATCTTTCCACTTCATCCGATCCACAAGCGCAGCCATGGCGATATCCCAGCACTTTTCTCCTTTTAATTCTGACACTGCTTCCTTACAAACATCCTTTACAAAGTCGACATTCTCCTCATCTTGAATCAAAGATCTAGTCACATGACCGTAATCTTCAACAGTCCGATGTTTAATATCGATTACTTCAAATGTCATTTTGGAACGAATGCGATCCAAAGGATCCCGGGAGTCGGAAAGATAGGCAAGGACGCGGGAGTGGTATTCTGGCTTCTGACTCTTGACTTCCTGATATAGCTTCCATACGGATCGATAATTCCGTGGAGATTCCCCCTTAAGATATCGATCAAGCCTGCCTAGAGTGCTAGGTTCCACCAATATTTTCCCATCCCGGCCAATCCGCGGTCGTCTTTTGGTCTCCTTCCCACGTGTGAGAATCGTGCGTAAGCTGTTTTTTCCCCTAGAATGTTCCAATCCCATCCGCTTCATCCGTTCCCGCGACATCGTCTCCCGCTGACGGCGATAAAAATTACAATATGCCAACCCGAACCTCACAAACGGCAATAAGGGGGATGCTCTCCGCTTAGGATAAACTATAGGCTTTGGGGAGCTTTGGTAGAGGTCATGGTATTGGAATGTCTCGTCACTATCGAGCTCGGATGGTCCCAGTTCCTCCAGTTCTTCATGATTCTGCTGCTCCTTGGTTTCGGCTTCTGGTGTTCTCTCTTCTTGATGCTGATGTTGTTGAGGCTCAGCAGTTTCAACAGAATTCGTCGAATAAGCCCTACCGACAATTTTCCTCCTATAATTGACGGAACCATTGATGATATGTGGGAGACAGGATCGCGCGAATACCTGAGTCTCTGGTGGGTAGAGGAATTCCAAATGGGTGGTTTGAAGGTAATTAATAGAAACGGAAGATGGCTCCGCAGCTGGTAAAAGTCTGCTGGGGGAGGGACGCAACGGTTGAAGGAATTCAAAGCTCCACAGGGGAGCTTCGATGAGAGCAGCGCCATGGTGCCAGAATTCCGGATGCAAAACTCGTCGGGTGCGAGCGTGGCGTTTGGAATGGCGGAAAAGAAATTCTCCTGCGGTTTCTAGACGCTGGGCAGCTCGTTCTAGCATCCCTCAAAACCAGAGGTGGGAATATGGGATGGTGGTTTAACGGTGGTTATAGATGTAAGGCATGTCGCAGGTCAAATTGCTCTAGGATGGTCGCTCGTAAGGGGAGCACAAAAAAGAACGAACGACAGTCAAGGATAATCATGAGAATTCGGACACCGTGCTACAAATCCAGTCCTCCTAGTCTGCAGGCGTATCTCTAAAAGTCTTGACTGCAGATAGCAAGGCAGTTCTGGCTGTTGTTCCCTTGTCGTCTGTTTCTTCTCTGTTTCTTCCCCTGGTGAGAGAACGAAATCATGTTTTTTTGCCAGGAGAAATGTTGGGTTTCGGCCCGCATGTTTCTCCGGCGCCGTGCACTAACTACTGCAAACAAGCGATAAATACTTCAACCTCACCAAACATCAACGTCCCTGCAACAACATCTAAGGAACTACACCAGAGTTAACGGCGGCGGATAAGGTATGCGGTGGTTGGTCTGGCATGCAATTAGCCGCAAGCATGGATATCACCGCCTTTGTCGTTAACCACAGAGAAGATGCGCTTCTGGCTGGGGATTACAACTCTTATAGAGCCCAGTTGTCCCGCAGATTGCACACTCTTAGGAAGAAGTTGGGACAGACAACCCCGCGGGGCAAAAAATACACTCCAAAACCTAGGATAACTGCAGAAGACATCTCCAAGGATGCCAAGTATGATTCTTCTATTTACGTTATATTCTAGATAAGGAATATCTTTAAAAAAATTATGCTAACAATGTGACAGCTATGCTTTTCTTCTTCTCCTCAGCGCAGATAGGGCTTGGGCTACCGCAATGCATATGAAGTCGACCCATTCCGCGGATCCATCCACCAAAGGTATCACCGGCTCTGCAAGGCGACATATAATCACTCGTTTGAATAAAGCGACTATCTATGCAAAGCAACTCGTCTCGGTACTTCAAGATCCGTCCATATATTCCGCATCGAATATTGACATCCTCGAGGCACGGGGGTATCTAGCCTCCCTCCTGGGTGCGCTGTGGATGGAAAAGAAAAGGTGGGATCTATGTCTAGAGCAATATTCACTTGCGAAAGTAATCTACGGCGCACTCAGTACCAAAGCGAAACGAGAAACATTTCGCGACCTGTTATCGACTACGATCGATCCAGGCCTACGATATGCGGCTTATCAGCTAAAATTTCCCCGGTCTGCCTCCCTGGAATCTATCGCGATTAAGAGCATGCCCTCAGACTCCAGAGTTCGGGATGAGGTGACGTCAATTGACCCAAATTGCCTGACAGAACTCGGTGCAGACAGCAAACGGACCACTACTGGTTCTGTTCAAGATATACCACAAACCATCACCTGGAGGTCTCGAACGGTCAACCTGGAAGATGCAGTCATATCGCAAGCGTTGGCCGCTGCGTCCGCCGCAGAATCTCAACTGTCATCCTGGTTGTCTAGCCCCGCGGGCCAATCTGCGTCACTAAGCGTGAAGGCAGCCCATTACGATAATGTGATAATTGCCAGTCAAGACGCGGTGGATGCGACGAAGACCGCTATCGATGAACTATCCGCTGAGGGGATCGATCAGGGAGACAAGCGCATGCAGGCGCTGCAAGTCACTCGGACGGCAGTGAATTATGCCCTCGTCGGCTGGCGGGTGGGTCGAAATCGGATCCTGTGTGGCATGGACGATGGCCTCAACTTTGAATTGGAGCAAGGTAAAAGCTCAGGGGGGAATAGGCATTCGGCAAAGGCGTGTGGGAAAGGTGTTGGGAGGCAACTGGCACGGTTACGCGAACGAACGACCTTGTACGATGCGATTTTGCAGAGTATGGATTTCATTCAGGAGTTACCTGGTGTAGCGGGTGATGCTAGCTTTATGGAGGAGCTTAGTGAGAAGCGCAGCTATTTCCATGCGCTCAGGTATTCCTTTTAAATCCCATTCATGAATATTGGAATTGATACATCTTTCCGATTCGCCCGCTAACCGTATGAAAACCCAGATGTCTAACAGTGGGCCGATCCCACGCCCTCCTCTCCAACTCCAAAAACGCCCTGGCCCTCTTTTCCCGCGCTTTAGATCTCGCATCCACCTCCCGCCCCACAACCCCAGACTCTTCCTCCCCTCAACAACACCAACAAAAGTTCACTCCTCCCCGCCTCGACATCTCCCCCCCCCAAGTCAACTCCCTCCTCACCCACCTCCGCTCCCTAGTCTGGCAATACCGCGGCATCGTCGAAATCGAATTCCTGACTTTAGAACCCAACAAGACCAACGAAGAAACCAACAACTCCTTCAAGCCACCCCTTATCGAACGACTGGATGAATATCCGTCCGCTGGCACCGTAGATCTATCCCAGTTGGTCACTTACCCGCCCAAGATGCAGCCGATACCGGTTAAACCGTTATTTCTGGATCTTGCGTGGAACTATATTGACTACCCACGGGCGACTGGACGGGGTGGCGATGGGACCGCTGTGGAAGCTGTAGTTGCGGGGCAGGTGCCAGTTCAGGCGGCGAAGGGAGAGGGGAGGAAAGGGTGGTTTGGGTTTGGGTGGTAATGGGAGCTTGAGATGTTCTGTGTTTCAAATTTTTTTTTTTTTTTTTTTTTTTTTTTTTTTTTTTTGGTGTGGTTCTGAGATGGGCTTTGTGGATAGACGGAATGCACATGACATGCCGTGAGATATATCTGTTAAGGCCGGGGATTACAAGTTGGGTTTTTTGAATATAATTTGTTGCGTTTCTTGCTATCGATATTCTTTGCCTTGTAATTCTATTTGTATGGAGTTTTCATATCATCTCTTGATTCTCGTAGGATTGCTATGTTACTCACCGGTTTGGCGTCTACGATTGATAAACCCCACGCACCTATTGCATTTTCCGCTGTTTTGGCTGACGGTTGGACCCAGAGTTCGGTTTTGATGATACCCTGGACAGGAAGCTACGGCGGCAGATTTGGACTCGAATTCGAGTCGCATATTAAAAGGCAAATGAAATAAAAATACAAGAGACAATTACGATTTCTCCTTCCTCTGCACCTCTTCTTTTTACATCGGTGTGTTAACGGCTTCGTCTTATGGTGACCCTCTGACTCGCATACGGAGTAGATGCTGTTATCCTCAATTTGAGAATTCCCAACTACGGTGGCCCGATCATTCAACTTTCATCATTGTGTCGCCTCTACAACTATTTTAAACGGCTGCCAGCTTGCATCATGCCACCCTTGGACCGCCATAGATACCAGTCCCCCAAGATATTTGAGGGAGCGGAAAGGGTGGGGGGGTGCGGGGGCGCGGGGGGTTAACTAGGTAGGCGAGGGCTTGGGATGAGACAGATCAGAGTGACCCTCAATACAATATCCCACAGCAAGAGGCTCTATTACGGTTGCACATCATCTCACTGATGTAGGCACACGTCGTCATCGACCCAAGATAGTATTTAGAGATAAATGACCCTTTCACATCATCTGTCATTCGACGAATGCCAAAAGAGTCCCTGACCCCTGACTCTGTCCCTTAACCCCTGTGTCTAAATCAGGTGAAGCCAAGGTCGACTCCTCCCATCCTCAAAGTCTCTGTAGACGACGCATCCATCTTCAACCTGTACCTCCGCACAATTTGCCAGTTCCTTCATCCGCTCTTTGCAATCTCCTGCTACGCGACTAGTGAATCCTAAAAAACCAATTTCCAAGGGAGGAGGAAAGGGATAAAAAAAAGGATCCATCTATTTATGCAAGGACCGGATTCATTCCATCTAACACTTTTCAAACAACAGAAAAAAAAAAAAAAAAAAAAAAAACACGAGGAGGAATTTTGATGAACTCTTTGACTGATCAATTAATGTATTAGTAAGATATAATATGCAAGTGTGTATGTGTACACATCTAGGTTTTGCTTTTTGCTTTCTTTTTTCTTTGACACTTTTGTTGACCGAAAACCTATCATGCGTGTCGTGCACGTATTGACAAGGTGAAGGTTGAAGAAGAAAGGGAGAAGGAAATTCAAGGGTAAAAGAAAAAGAAAGAAAAAAAAAGTGAGAAACGCAGAAATACTTGATGAAACAAAACCATTCAAATTACAACAAAAGAACATTTTATTGAGTAGAAAGTGGCACAGTACCATTGAAAAGCAAAAAACAAGATATGGCCATATGTCAGCATTGCTACGGTAACATGTCTTTTTCTTCAGGGAAACCCTTGAATCAAGGACTATGGGGCCTCAATTAAGAGAATTGAGAAAAGGAGAATGGGGGAAATGGGGGAAATGGGAAAATGACAAAAACAAATCATACAATACCATCTCGGACGTATAATGAGACGACGCGAGAACACCGGGGGCAAAAAGGGAAAATTAAAAAGAACATACAAAAATTCCGAGGGGAAAAAGGGAGGGATATTAGGTGACTTAGAGGGTTATTTTTCGTTGCAATGTGTCCCGACGATTAAACAAAGAGTCGGGGGCTTGGGGGCAAAGAAGCTGATCGTCATCCTTTGTCAGACAGCGACGAACGATGGACGACATTATATGTCATACGATAATCATCGCACTAGCAATTCAAAGTATTCTTAGCCCAGCGAAGCCCCCGATACACTATGGTTGACAAAGGTGTTGATCAGTGATCGGGAGCACGACCGTGCATCTAACACGTCGGTCAGTCCGGGCTCTCTTTGCGCTACTCACCAGTAGCGGTTGAGGCACATGTTGGATGTATGGCCGATCCAGATCGGCCTAGGCCCGTTCCGGTAAGACGTGTGGGGATATAACGGTATAGGACCGTACATCCAACCAAATGTGAGAAAAAATGGAAGAGTAAATATGATTAAAACGTGAATTGAGGCACATATCCTATATTCCCTTTATGTATTGTGGGAGTTTCTTGTTTCATTTCATTCGTGGAACAAAAAGGGTTCGTTGAGTTGAGCCGAAGGCGAAAACGACTCATTCAGATCGTGGGCGGAAAACGAGGTGGCAATCATCCTATTTTGATACTTGTTAGTCGCTACATATTCCTGAGGAATTGAGGTTGAACTAAGGTAAGTAGGGAGGTACATGAACAATACGTACCATCGGGAAAATAGTCGCAAACACTTTAACATCCTCCGATACAGGCGTGGTATGATGCTCCCAATCCAGCAGCATACTCGCCTTCCCGATCATCATCATTAGATTCAGCTGCGCATACGTCTGGCCAAGACAGTAATGCGGGCCCGTGCCAAAGACAAGGAAGTTCTTGGCTGCTTTGTCTGCATCGCCCGTGATCCATCGGTCCGGGTTAAACGTGTCGGGATCCGGATATGCCTCCGGGTCGTGCGTGGCGGGCCAGATAGAGGGGACAATCATGGAACCCTTAGGCAGCGTGTAGGTGGGTGAGACGGGGAAATCCTTCTTGACCAAATACGGCACCAAGATTACTGGGGGACGGTAGCGGAGAGTTTCTCGCACGACGGCGCGGGTGTAGGTCATTTGATCTAGCATATTCATGCTGATGGGGCATGTTGCGATCGCCGCCACAGACGCTCAGGGTTTCCTCACGAATCTTGTCAAGAACCTCAGGTCTATCGGCGGTCAGTTGGAAGAGCCAGGTTGAGGCGCTGCTGGTGGCGTCTTGGGAGGCGAAGAGGAAGGTGAAGAGGGTCTGGGCAATTTCGTAATCGCTGAAGTCGCGGAGGATATGACTTGGCTTTTCTGATGGGTCGACTTTGATGCCTTGGGCGATCTTGGCGCGGTATGCGGCGGAATCCAGCATGGTTTTAACCCATGCGTCCATGATGCAGGTGATCTCTCCACCGGCAGCCATGCGAACTTTACTTTTGGCAGCGCACTTTTTGAACTCGTTCAGGACCATATCTGCGGACTTCTTTCCATACCATGTCTTGGTGAATGGGATAATAATGGGAAAGTTGACCAGTTCGAGAGCCGCAGTGATCAGGTAGTAGTCATCCGCGATGAGCTTGACGGCCTCGTCGGACATGTAGTGTCCAACAAAAGTGCGACAAGACAGAGCAGTCATCAATTCGCGCAAGTGCGGCATCCACGGCTCAGCCTTGAAATTGTTCTGGGCGGATCTTTCCACAAAGAACTTGTAATACCTGTTATACACGTCATTCAGCTGAGGCATGTAGCTGGTCAGGGCAGGCCGAGCAAAAAGGCCGTTCAAACCCTTTCGATATGCAACGTGGTCCTTGCCGTCCAAAAAGACCCAGTTGTCCTTGCCCAAAAGCTTATGAGCCACATCAACGACGCAGGGCTTGACATATGCTGGAGAATTGAAGACCTTGCGGGCCGTATCACGGGACGAAGCGATGACAACAAATCTAATCAAGCAATGAAAGGAGATTCAGGTGAGCAAATTGATATTTTCATTTTCCGTTTTGCGAGGAAAAAGGGGAAACGAAACTGGATATTCATACTTGTGGAAAACCGAGACGCAACTCAGGTCACCGCTTTCCCATTTTGCCTTGTACACGAGGAATTTAGGGTTCACAGAGTCGAGGAATGGGCCCATGAAAGGGATTTTGAACATGGGACCAACAATTGGTCCTTTGAGCCAGATATATTTTACTGTTGGGAAATATTAGCGACCGACAAGGCAAGCATCACAAAAAACGAAACCAATTACAGTAAAAATGCATTTTTAATCTTGTTCATTTTCTTTTTTCTCATTGGCAAAATAATTGAAAACAAAGAGGAAATAGCTTTCAGGAATGATTAAATGATTATCATATCATACCTTGATCATAAGCCACGAGCATCAGGAAGAGGGTGAATATGATCGACCATGTGGACATGCCGTTGTAGATGGATATGAGCAAAGCAACGGGATTCCGAGCTGAGGAAGCCAGCCCGGCATCTGCCAGGGGCGAGGCAAACGTCCCATTGACATCCGCCATGGAGATAGATGGGGGGGGGGGGGGAGTGTGCGTCACGGAGTCTGTTACCACGGATGTGGGATGTGTTGAGTCGATGGTAGGGTGTAGAGAATTGCGTTATATAAAGGGTTTTTTTTTTTTTTTCCGTTGGGAAGAGGGACCTCAAAAGAGCCAGTGACAATCTCTGGTTGCCGCAACAACACATCCAATTGGGGGAATTGAATGATAGAAACCCGGAGGGGCGACTGGGAAAGAGGCGGGGGAGAGGTGGAGGGGGTTGCGAGAAAGTGAAGAAAGGGGTTTTGGAGAGATGAAGGTTTTGAGGTTTGACGTTGTTGAGGTTCGAGGAAAGACGAAAAAGAAAGAGACAAGACCTAAACCAAAATTGCCGGGCCTTGCCGCATCGGGACAGGGATCTAGCTGACTCGTCGCGGGGAATCTCACCCAGGCCGAGTACCAAGATTACCAAGATTTCCCGCATTCCCAGTGGTGGACAACACATTTTGCAACACATTAATATGCGTGCGTAATTTATGGCCGGGTCAGCGGAGGCCGGCTGCCCTGAACGAGACTAGCGTCCGCCTTCACCGGTTTGCTTACAGGGGCAGAACGTTAGCAGCGGTACGATATAGTGCTGACTGTCGTGTTTGCGACACCATCTCCGCTAGGTGCATAACCTCGACCCGGGAGTTAGAATTGTTGCGAGCTAAAAAACCGCTTCTTTTTCCAGATCTATGCTAGAGTTCAGGAGCTTTGGGTCGAAAAGGTGCTTGGAAGGAGATCGGGATCCAAGGCATCTGCTATTTGTCATAGTGTCAACTAGTGTCAACTGGATAGTTGAACTATCCCGTGGGAATTTTGTTCTCTGCTGCCTACCCTCAAAATCAAGCTCATCCAAGCCTCCCCCTGGTCGGGTCCTAGGCTCGCAACACAAGGATGGAGGTGCTCTTCAGGAATACGGAATAGATACAACTGTACAGAGTAATTAGGGCCCACAACCAATGTGTGCCGTGGGGAAAGAGGGAACAAATGACAGAAGCAGAAGAACCCAGTTCGCATCTCTACAGGAATTAGTTATCAACACTCTGTACTCAACCCTCTTCAGATGCTCTTCACACCCTCCCAAAATTATAGTTAATCATCAATTTTAGTCCCTGGCCCAAGAGCTCGAACCCTGACCCTGGTGCGTTGGTACCTTGCGCCAATACATTTCCCGCTCTGCAGCCTGGGTTGTACCTGGGTGCCTGCATACGAATATTCATTCCCCTGCCCCAGCAAACGGCGTGATTCGGTAACATTGTCTCCGAAACTCCCAATGAAACCACGCCGAAGGTTTTTCCGGGCGAAATTTACGCCCCAATTACCCAAACCCAGGTCAGCTGATCTGCAAGTTTGGGCCTGGTCCGTATTCTGTCGGGCGGCACGGAGAGCAGTTGCCGGCTTATCATAAAGACTGTTTATATAAAAGATAAATATTTATTTCGTTTGTATAACCTGGTTGACTAGTTGACGAAATTCCCACAGGAGAGTTGAACACAGAATGCTTATCTTCAACTTTCTACTTTAGCATGTATGGATGCCGTTAGTTTATATAGCAATAATAAAAGAAAATCTATTGAGAAAGAGTAGAGAATTGAAATAGTTAAAATTTTAATATTAATTTTAATAATTAAATTATAAATAAAATATTTATTAAGATATTTATTTTTACTAGAATTTATTTTTTTTTTAATAAATACAATAATTATAATATTTAAAATTTAGTTATAGTTATATAAAATTTATTTTTATTATTATAATAATTATTTTATTAAATATAAATTAATAAAATACATTTAAAATAATTATATAAATGAATAAAAAATTAAATATTTTACAAAATAAAATTTTAAAATTTTTTAAAAGTCAATATAGATATAATATATAATATATATAATATTTTATTTAATAAAGATTAAATGTTATTAATTTATTTTATAAATTATTTAATTTTAAAATTAATAAATAATAATAAATTAATTAATTATTGTTACACACTTGTAATATGAATTAAAGTTGATTCACTCCACCCTGAAGGTTGATCTGCTCCAATCCCCCAATCATTATATATTCAGCTGCTCGTTCATTTCACATTCTAATTCCCAGTTTAGTATTCTCGTCGCAGCTGCCTAGTTAGATAGATGAATTGAAGTTTTTATTTTGTTTATCTGAACTCTAAATGAAGCCATGACAAAGAGAAAAAAAATAAAAATAAAAATAAAAATAAAGATAAATACACAGTTTTATACAGATCAGACTGAAAGAAAATAATTAAAAAGTTTTTAATTATGAAAAATTATCACTTAAATATAAGTTTATTGTAATAAAAAATTTAAATAAATATTTATTATATTTAATTCTTTAAAATAAAACTTTGAAATTATAATATACATAAAAATTATTAATAAAATAGTATTTTAATAATAAAAATTCTAAAAATTTTCATAATGGAAATTAATTAATTAATTAATTAATTAATTTTAATTAACTTTATTATATATGAAATTAATATTTATTTATTTCAACTACTTAGATTTAATAATAGTTATATTATTAATTAAAATTTTAGATTAATTAACTAATCTTTAAACTTTTTGATTCATCATTTTAATAACATAGTTCTGTTGAATCAGATAATCTGAATCTCTAGTTAATTATCAACTTTATTAATGAATAGTAAAAGCATAAACATAAATAAATACATATGAATGATGCCAGCGTAAGCAGGCCGCCTGCTGGTCCCGTGATCTCGGATCATTTCAACACGTAGTTCGACACGTAGCCTAGATCAATGCAACAACAGCGTTCTTCATCCAACAAATGATATGTGATATTATTTATTGGTTAATAGTTGGG